GTTTAGCTGAAGTGAACGAACCTGAAGTTGAGGACAATGGTTGCAATAGAAACATCGCTAAGGTTGGATGAAATTAAGATTGGAGCCCTAAGGTGGCATACATTTGAGTTGAAGATAAAGATTAAAATATTATAGATACGAAGAGAAACTTGGTTTCGATCAATCTCCTGAGATAACATTGTTAGAGGTTACCTTCATTTCGTATGAAAGTGCATGAAGAAGAGATTCGTTGGGCGATATCACCAGATGAAGACGGATGAATCTCGTACTGTGGCCGTTTGGATTTTATACGATATTCATGTTGACGCAGTCCACGGGACTTCCTTATTCGTTTCTGGTGAAAACGTGCTGAGCTTTCGTCCATCATATAATAGACATCATCAGAGCTGGGTGTCATTCTTGTAAAAGGCTTTCGTTAACACTAGGCCAAGAAGACTATCCGGCTTTATCTTACCTCTTATATAGTCTCAGTTAAGCCATAAGAAAAATTATAAATTATAAACCTAGATGCATATAGAGTGGTTTGGCTAATTATCTTTCATACTTGCCCTGCTTCTTTTGCTTGAGTGTATGCGTGTGTGTGTTATCGTCTATACGCAATACCGGTCCTAAATCAGAGTTATTAAAATATTTAACTTAGGCTCTGATCATCAAGGCCTAATGACCTCAAAGAAAGCCCTAACCGAGACTGCGTAAGTCCGTAAGCAAGTATGATTGAGATAATGAGATATGAGCTTGTAAGCATGTAAATCAAGTTACGAAACCACTTGTCCTAACCTCTCGGTCTAGGGTCATTAACGTTTAACCCTCTAAGAAAAGGCATGACTGGGGCTACGTAATTTGGCACGTCTTGTTTGGTTGATGAGCTTAATCCAACATGCTGGACGAATGTGAGTGAATTTAGAACCATCACCGAGCATAAAAATTGAGTCGCCTTCTTTTTGACGGCAGCTCAAGACTCTCTCTTTTTTACTTCTCTATCTGTCTCTGATTGGGAAAAAAACGAGTGAAAATTGCACGAGGAGCGTTTCAACCTGAAAGGTGAAGGGCTCATAGTTCCCTATAAGGGTGTGGGGACAAGTCCCAGCACTGACATGCTAGGCCTTTTGATCTTCTGGCTGTGTCCGTATACAGAGTAGGCCGCAAGGTCCTTAAAGCAAAGACTAATTCAGTCTATCTTATGATAACGTTTAGCTGAAGTGAACACACCTGAAGTTGAGGACAGTGGTTGAAATAGAAACATCGCTAAGGTTGGATGAAAGTAACATTTCCGCCCTAAGGTGGCATGAATCGGAGTCGAACTGAAGGATTAAAATATTAGCCTATCTGATCGCTCTGAGCTGATACGCCTATTGCACTTTTTGGAGCTGTTCAATAAATTATGAATTAGAATACAGGCTTGAAAATCAGGAGCGGCTAGATTGAGAATTACAGATCCTTTTGGCAATTGGCCTATTAAACGAAGATGTGAAGACAAAGATGGCGTGATTTCGGTATGGTCGCAGTCTCCTTTCGATGTATACAAGTGGGTTTAACTCTTTTTCGTAACTTGGTCGTGTTGTCAAGCGTGCCAAACTAAGCCACCCTGACAGCACGACCAAGTTACGAAAACGAGGTCAACACACATCTGACCTATTAAAGCTTGAATTTTATTTTCCTTGCCTCAATATATTACTTATATACTAGTACGATTACATTTGCAGTTATCTGTCAGGTGAACCTGTGTTCTTTCCATTAGATGGGAAGATTTTAGGGAGTATCAATTGCTTAATTTATCCAATAGCATACTACTTTTAAACTAGCTAACAACTGATTTTTTGCTCCCAAATTTTTTAGTTTACTAATTACTTATAATAGTATCGTAAATTTATTTGCATAACTTTTTCTCACACCTCATAACTAGGTGATAATTTTTTAATTGTATGGCTCTACTTTTTCCCTAGCTTTTATCTGCATTATTCCCTTTTTACGTTATCGAATTTCACTTCCTTAATTTTATTTCATTTGTTGGTGCTAAGCACAGTTTTTGAGAAATTATTTTGGATACGAATAGTATAGTTTATTCACATCCTATATTTATATTGACTGAATAGAATATGCTTGTTACTCTGATCATCTTGAAGTGAATAGGACACTTAAATGTTTTTTTTAATTAGCACTCTATGGGATCACCTTTAGACTTATTATTTTCATGTATACATTTTATTTAACTTATTTTGCTGTATGATGTTTGACTAGATTTAAAATAATTATGTGAACATATTCCTAGCGAAGGATTCTTTAATATGCATATGGAAATGCATTTTGCAGAGGTTGAAATATAAAAGGCAAAAAAAATTAAATTAGGCAGACATAACCCCGTTTTCCTACTCGGTAATTTAATCTATTAATGAGCCTTTATTTATCCTAGGTTACTTTTGTTGAGAAGTCTTTTTAGACAGATGGAGGAATTAAATCGTAGTCGGCATCGTCAGTGCTAAGACTGGCAAGACTCTCTGACTATGTTGACTACGATGCCGGCGAAACGTCTGGGAATGTTCCAAGTCCACGGTCCGACTAGAAATTATCATGCTTACTATGGATTCTGAACAAGATGCATTCCTCCAGGTCCTTTTACCAAGTTGCGAAAAGAAGGTCAAACAACTTCTAAACTAAATTTAGGTCCATAAATCCCCAATCGACCGCTATTCAGCAATCATCAAACAATTTCACTATTTAAAAATATACTAGCCGCTTGTAATCCCCACTAAGCCATTTGCCCTTATGCGACTTGATTAAAACCCAGAGCATTCTACTCCCTGAACAAAATTCCAAATTTTGACTAATTTGCATTCAAGTACTTTTTATGCTGCTGATTAACTTAAATAAGATTAAATAAACATTCTGTTTTGAAGGATTGCTTGGAAATCTTTATATAGGCATTTTTAGCTTGAAATAAAAACTTACAGGCCCTTACAGTGATATTAGTGTCTCTATAAATTCATCCGCTTGACGTTTTTACTCATATTCGAATGTGATTTGTTATGGCTTTATATTCTTCCTTTTCTTCTGTTTGAGAGACTTATTTTATAGATCTGATTTTATATTTTTCCCGGCTTATATTCCTACAAATGCAGGCTTTTCCTTCGGTTACGTAGCGCATACGATCAGCGGGTTTGAAAAGACTCAACCTTATCCGACGATGGAGATGGTTAATCGGTACTGATTTTTATTTCAACACTACTCTCCTCCTCATGTTTATTGACCAATTAATTAATTTTTTCATCATGAATTTATTTTTTCTCTTACAAATGCAAAAGTTTAAGTTGCTTTCTATCTGGAAAAATTATTTAAGTAAATATATTTTAACTTTGGGATTCTAATTGGCTCTAAAAATCTGAGCTTGTGGCAGACGAACTGCCCTAAAAATCCATAATATGACCATTTGTACTTGTTATTTCCCACTGATGCGAGAAAAAGGCTCCTGTTGATTCATCTCTCATCATTCTTAAAATGATAACATATCACTTTACTTATACTACCCTTCTGCGCTTTGTACTAAATGAATATTTCAGATGTAGGCTAGAAGTCAACAGATGCTACATACTCTATTCAGATAAAATTTATTTTTCAGTTTAAGCTAATATTGAGTTGAAGTTTTAAATCTCTTGAAATATAATACTGATTGAAAGGGCCAAACTCCATCTATTTTTAAATATCACCATTCAAATCAGAAATACTTTCATAATTCTAATGACTATGTCCAATCTTAGGAATACACTAGCTATCGCTAATTTTTATAAGGTAATACTTTTGACCTATGTATATATCTTTTCTAACAACTTGTCATTCAATATATACGCTGCACATTTACGTATTAAAGTGACTTTTCAGCCCTTAGCCTTCAACCTTCTAACATTTATTACTTATGGGTGATTTTACAACGTTTCCGCAACTTTGTCATGTTTTTAGGGCTTCCCAGCTAAATTTCATAATTCCCCTTTCATATTAGTCCTGACATACTTTCCATTGTAGGACCATATACTTGGTACGTTACCAGAGGTTTCGCAGGCGTCATAATCAGCATCGTCATTGAGTCTTGTAAATCATAGCATCAAGCTGTAATTTTTCAAAGAAATAAGTGAAGTCCATTCCTTAATTAACTTTCTCCAAAAGGATTGTCTTATCTCCTTTATCTTTCCTACTATATCTACATACCCTCCAATCCTCGTATCTCTCCCTTTATCACAGCGACTATTTTGTTTATACTAGAATATTCCGAGAGTGGGCCGTTTTGAGTGAGTTTAGTGAGGCATTATCACACATGTTGGTTTATTTTGCCTCCCGCCTCTTGGCCTGTAGGAAGTGTTGATACGGGTCGTGTCTTTCAGTCGGTAAACTACTTCATTCGACAAGAGCTGTATTTACTCCCGGCTGTACGTGTTAGAAAACGAACAATTGAATTTTCCCACAATGGCATTAGGAAGGCCTTAAGTTTTGATTAAATTTTACTTAGCCTTTCTTCCAAAGAGGTATTCTCACCCATAGTAGACTGGAGTTTCAATCTCTTCCAGGTCTCAGCACCCCCAGCTGGATTTGAAACCGGTTGGTGCAGCGTACAGTCTCGACACGTTACTATTACATCAGAATACTAAGAATGCATCAGGGTAACAGGGTAATATGCATTTCACGGGAGGATATCCTTTCCCAATTTCTTTCGTGCTCTCGAAGATTCATCTCTTACTCTATCATGCCTTCACATGATAATCTTTTAATGACTATAGTTTACTATAAAATCAATATTATCTCATACACCAAACTTGGATTTAAGAAGCATCCTTCGTTTGTTTGCTTTTTAATTATTTTTCTCTGAGTTTTTTCCTGAAGATCAGGATACTAATTTCTTTAAATTGAAGTTTAGGAATAGTTCCATCTTCTTTTTAATTGTTTACTGTTCACTCAGCATTGCTGACTACATATGTTCATGGAATTCCATCTGGTATAAATCATTTGTTCCTCTTATAAGATTAATTAGATAACCATTTTCGAGTCCAGTAATCCATCCACACATATATAGTTTTCTTCTTAAGAATCTTGCTTATCCATATTCTTGCCCTTAAATCATAAGTTTTTGCATACAAATATTTGTTAATTTCTTCGTAGAAATTTTGAAAAAAATATCGTCTATCGTACCTCGCTCTTCTCTTTTACTCCTTTCTCTTACACGCATTTCCTTACTTTCAGTGGTCGTATATCTGGTTTTATCTCCTCTGCTCTGGTGGCTGCTTTTTCTGGTGTCAGTGTGGCCTTCGCCATCTTAAGCAACAGTGTGGCAGCGATGATTGGCAATGCTATCTCCCTCTCCTTACTTCCTCCAGCCGTTAACTGCGTTAGTATCTCCATGGTTGTGGACACCCAATTTTATTTAAGTTCATGTTTTTTTGTATGTTTAACTATGCACACAGATTTACGAGCTATATTTCCTAACCATTATACCTTTACCTTGTTGATTCTTTCTTTAGGATGCGCTTTTGCTTAGTTTTACATTCGAGAGACCTTGGTCTCCCAAAATTATGTCGTTTATTATTTACTTTTTAAATATTTGTGCTCATTCTCATCAAGAGTGCACCGATAAGTGAGTTCAACAGGTATATTTGGCTTTTGCTTCATCTCAGTTAAGGAGCGACTTTAAGATGTTGTTTTTATACCTAAAGTAAACAATTTGCAAGAACAAATCGATGAGAGTAAGAGAAAGAGATTCTTTATAAAGTCTGGCCATGATAAACGGCGTTGGAAGGCTAACTTAACTTGATTGCTTGTGACAAGTTTATTCATCAGGTACATGTGCGCATTTGTTGCCTGAAAATTTGTGTAGCTTTAAATGAACTTACTTAAAGTATATATTGCTCTCGTTCAATAAAAGGCAGAAAACACCAAGAATTTTGGCAACAATCCAACACTAGTTCATCCATATAAACCCAAGGAGTCTTCTATTAAGTTCTTTCCCAAAAATATTTATTCTTGCTGCAGTTCCGTATGCATGAACGAACATTCCTCATCTGAAGGACATTATAAATTAAAATCAGATATACCATAAAGCTTTATCATCTGTCTTCCATACTATCATATTAGTTATAATAATTTGTACTATGTTATGTTGTAAACTAATTAACAATGAGCTGATCGTTTCAACCATGAGAAAATATAAAAATCCGCTGAATTCACACTCATCATTATACTTTACGAGTTAGAAAACTATTAAATCTTGATTCGGCGCTCTCTGACTTAGAAAGTTTTGGAGTATTCATTCAAAAGTATTTGATTGAAATCATATAACCTACAGGTAAGCCTATTTTCGAGGGAGAGACTAGAAGATTTTAATAAGTATTTTTTCACCCAGCCTTTATGTTACACAAATATTTAGAGGTTTTTTGAGAAATATCTAAAATAGTTAATAGTTTTATGGAAGAGCTATTCAAGCTAAGTATTGGGTTCAAGTCCCTGCCCTAAGGTTAGCTGCTAAGACCTTTTTTATTACAACTTTTGTGTTAATTTTTAGAAAACAAATGGCTAATTTTGGGTGCTTTTTTATAATGTTTGATCTTAATTTTTATCAAAAGCAACAGAACAACTTGATTCATAGTTGTCGGATTTTGGTTGATCATAAAAGTTGTAACAATCTTAGCATTAGCTTTCTATTCAAGTTAGCATTAGTTGCCTTTAATACCTGCTTTGTCGATACAATTAATTGATAATTTTTTCTCTGAAAATAAGATTAGCATTTTTAATTATTTTTTTTACATTTCAGGGTCAACTTTTTCTTCTTTCCTTGCTGGCGGCTTCACAAAAAGTAAGAAGCCCTAATGCCTTTGTACCCATGCATGCGCTTTTGCTTTGCATTTTTACTTTTATATGTGTTTAAAGGGTCTTTTTTATTAATTAAAACTAGCAACTTAGTCACCAGTTAGTATCGTGGCCGTATTACAACTACTGGTCATCGTTTTGTCTGCCCGATTATTATTATCTTTAGTTTCTTTTTTTCA